TGTTTTGGCGGGCCAGGCTGGATTCAAACTTGCCACCTTAGGTGTATGTGGCTGGCACCTTAGCCACTTGAGCCACAGGCACCAAACCTCAATATATTTTTTTAATAATGATACCTCATAAGTCATAAGTGTCACTTTCAAGGCTGGCGCAGACTTTTTGTTCCACTATAAAATATAAATAACACGAGTACTATCTGCTAAATTCATAACATAAATAAATAAATTAATTACCTAAATTATCTGAATAGCTGATTTGTTGACATCACTTGTTTGACTAGCACTAGCTTGCAGTATGATGTGTATCCTTTGAGAGACAGTTACAAAATGTTTTCATCATTGCCAATGCAAAAAAATGCCATTGTTCATTAAGTCCAAACAGTGGTAGTTGAATTCTAACAACTGATCAACAATGCGAACTTTGATAAGCAGTTCTTGATAATCAGTTCTCAACAATTATTTGTTATTATTAAAGTTTAACATTATAAAATTAACGAAAATAATATAAAACTCATATCCTGATGAAATAGCCACATGGCAGCCGAAAACCATATATTCCCTTCCCGTTGTCCCGCCATTCCCTAGCTTGTCGTGCATTCTTTCCAAAAAATCAGGACTTTTTTAAAATGCTGCCGGAAGCGGGACAAATTGTTAAAAATCAGGACTGTCCTGCCAAAAGCAGGAAGTCTGGTCACCTTAGTGGAACCCAATTCAGCAGGCATTGCAAAATGGTGATACTCTATCATTCTTAATTATATGGAAGATGCCTAGAAAGAAAAAAATGTCTCATCTATTTGGTTACACAATGGTACAGTTTCTCTGGAATATTTACCATTTATTAATTTAGGTTTTTGTATTTTAGAGACATGGGCCTTTTTTTCAGGTGTCAACATCGCCATAAGCAGTGTGTATTATCAACGGCTAATAACACCTCTGCCTGAAGGGACTAGAAGTAGGAGAAAAAGGAGACTACCTGAAATTTGCACCCCAGGACCATTTGTCTTCAAAGCTCCAGGAGAGTTTCTCTGTTTTTCCTTTGCAACATGGAAGGTTCTCCTTACAAAAGAAAAAAACAAAACAAACATCAGATCTAAGAACCTTGAGAAGTTTTTGTTTCCCTTGAGGAATTTAATATAAATTATCAGTGAAGAGTCTGTGTTTTCCCATTTTGCACTGCGCCCAGTAAGTTCAAAGCCAAAATTTGTAAACTTTTGGAACAATAAGAAGTCCTTATCTGCATATCAACATTTTCCTCTGATCTCCATCTTCTGTAACTGTTTCTGCCTTTTATTTAACTTTGCATTTCCATTTGATTGTATATATTCTAAATTTATTAACATTTTCTACCAGCAAAACAAGGTAGACAAAATAGAACAAAAACATTTACATAGCCATCAGTTATCTCTGAGAGTACCTTCGTCTTAGCATTCCACACACCGCCGGGTGTTATTTGAAAAATCTTTACAAATTAGCCAGAAATAGTTTCTCGCTGGGGTTTTAATTTGTATTTCTAAGATTACCGACGAGATTGAACATTTTTCTGTGTTTGTTAACCAGGTTTAAAACTGTTAGTTTGCTTGGGACGTGGTTACAGGGAGTAATTCAGCTAATCTAACTGAAAGACAAATGAAACCCAGGAGATGCCTCATTCTTATATATAAGCTTTGACTCCGCCCCTGGGTTCCCCTTTCCACCCCCAAGCAAACCTTTTGTGTGTGTCAACCACAAAAGGTTGAGATCTCAGTCTGCAAAGCTGGCAGAACACTGTATTGACCCCAAATGTGTGTATCTTGTGCAAATCTTGCGTCTGACTGCAATGCTTTTGAGGAAGAGTGCCTGGATCCTAATCTGGCCGCAGAACAGAATTGACCGCCGCCGGGAGTCCTTCTGCAGGCGGGGCCTCTCTCGCTCGGCCTTCGATTGGCCGGCCTGATCCCGCCGGAGTC